GTTACTTTCCTGAGTTTAAAAGTTTTTCAGTTGTAGTTAAAATGTTATAAAGTAAAATGAGAGATGTTTTCATAATAGCAATGAGAAACATTTGCTTAAAGCACTATGCAAAAATTTAAAATTAGTCTACTCAGCTCTGAGAGGTATCAGGATCATTCGGCTTATTATAAAGATTTATAAGGACTCATAGGAAAGCCTGGGCTTACAATTCTTAATAAAATATTTTTACCAATGCTACATTACTGCTCAAATAGACAGAATCTCAAACTATGCGAAGATGTTTGGAATAGATGGAATGTGTATATAGTGGTATTCAGGATGTGCATTTCGTCCTATTTGAGACCTGTCAGCTGGACCTGCCTGGATAATCCGAAATATTAGAAGTTAATTTAAAATTCATACCCATTGAACAACTGAACGGCTATCCGGAGTCAAGAACTAAGTTGCGTTTGGAGAGAATAGTTCCGAGTTCGAGTCCCGGGACGAACATCAGCTGTGGGATGTAAGTACATACAATTAGTTTGTCCCAAATGAGACGAAACGCCTTTTCTGGATTCCATTGATAGCCCTATTCCATATCACCTGAAATTAATGACTGAAAATATCATGAACAACACTTTTTCTCAACCCTGTCTATAATCTATGTAGATTTTATTTAATACAAAAAAAGAATAATACAATGTTCTTCAATAGCAAATAATGTTTTGAAATGCACTTTAAACATTCATATGTTCATTAAAAAACAAAATGTGTTATCCTTTTAATACAATCAACGTTGTTGACAGTATTCGTAATATTATACACAGCTGTTGTATTGGAAAACAGAACTGATTTGATTATTCAATGACATATACTTAATAGGCAAAAATATAATCACTAGTATAGTTAATAAGAAATGGTCAACAGCTGTTCAAATTAGCTTTTAATTTACATATTTGTGCGGTGAAATTATTCTGAAAGTGAAGTCACTGAACCGTTTCTCAGGTCGGTTGTCAACTCCTTGATCGTGAGTGATCTTTAATTAAAGGTATCAAATTTACTCTTTGTACTAACCACTTGTTATCACCATAGATTGCTTGAATCCTCATGATTAAATTATATGATACTGAAACTTTGTATCCCTTACTTTCTCGAATTACACTTTTAACTATTGTTTAAAAACAATGCACATTCATTCATTCCATCGCAGTTTAAATGTGATGATTCATTGGTCTTGTTTCGTAAGCAACACTACCCGGTCAGATTATACTACACTGACGAACTTCAGTGCGTAGAGACTGGAGACATGAGGGACGATATATTTTACTCTGAAGAAGATGCTGGTCAAAGGTATCTATAAAGCATGGTACATTCCTTGTCGAGTTAAAGCTTTTGTTTTTACAAATACTGATTGAATGAATTATCGGAACTTAAGTTACGACTGCAACAAGTCTAGAAGATGTAACTCGTGTTTTTGGAGTGCATTTGTATAAGTTCTACAGAGATTTAGCGTTCGGTAGTTTTAGGGTTAGGAGCTACGGTTAACGAGTTCTAGGTTTCGTGAATTTTCAGATTGATTAACTGTGTCAATGCTATTAGGACTGCGATTTCGAAATTCTTTTGTATTTTACATAGCTCTCACAAAAAGCTGCATTCTGGTTGATTATTTTCTAATTGGTTGTTCTCAAAATGACTCTTAGAATCATTGAAGGTCATCAGGATGGTATAGTCTTGCCAATTACCCTGATTAGTTTTCTTTAGTTGGTTACTCGTCATTGCGGACTCACTTAAATGATTGAAGTTTCATTATGAATATTAGCTTTACCAGCACAATGCATTCCATTTATTGATCGTTAATTTATTTTGCCGAAAGCACTTGTCTTAACAGCATTTAAAACATTTTAATAAATGTCAGAATACTTTTGTTTATACGTTGAAATTTAATTGGAATAGGTATTTATTTGTTGCAGCGGCACGCCAAGATTTACTTGTGTGACTTAACTTGATCTCGATAACATTGACACTAAGTTGAGCGTTTATAGTTGTTGAGATTATTGCCCATTAGTATTTAGAAGATGAATCTATCTTATACATGCATTAGCATAGTGATTACTGATGACGGAAGATAGATCGAATTATGAGTACCGGATACTTTCAGTTTTACAATTGGGAGAACAATGACGCATCTCGTTTATAATTTCTTCCCGCTGAACTACTCTCACTAAAAGTTATGATTATTCGTTCGTAAAACATTAGATTGCATAATTATTAGAATTACTTTTAATTCAGTACTCATCACACCTTATTTCTAGTTTTAGGTCACAAAATGTAATAACCTCACTTTCAACGACAACTAAAGATTTGTTTGATTGGTGTTAAAAACGAATATCAATCAGTAACACTATGTCTAGCAAAATGTGATCAGATGAAATCAGAATGTCAATTTAAACTTTCACAATACGTAATTCATATGAAAACATCAATGATCACTCATTCGACTTTGTTTGTCAACATTTAACTATATCAGTAGTAAAATAGTCGTTACTGATCCATTAAATTGTCGTGAATTTAAGCCTCGAGTCTACTCAACTTGATATGTGTATCTTTGGATGCCAACTCAATGGTTTAATGACTAATTGTTCTCCGTGTGCTTTAAAAGTCCCAGCTTCGACTCATCATATGGTCGTAAGTTTGCACTGTTAAAAAGTCTAGTACTAATGTAAAACAACTGTCTGGTGAGCTCTGGTTTTCTAAGGTACTTCATAGTAAGGTTCGTCTGGGACGATTACAACCTAGATATCACATTACTACTAGAACACTTCTAGGGAAAGATTATATCAATCTCTTGTAAAAAGTAACAGCTAATTGAATCTATGCCTTAGATTTTATGTGAGGTGTATTTTGTTATCAAGTTGACAGAATTACTAATTAACAGAATACAGAAATTATTCTATTAGCTGATGTAGAATTTGAGTCACATACGATAGATTTACTCAATCATCAGTATAGTGCTGTTCTTAGAGATTATTCATTTTCAATTAATTTACATTTCAAATTGAGATTAAACGGATCGCCAATGGGGGTCAAAGTTCGACTTGCACTTCGGCGTCGTGCCCCCTAGATAGTGGGCGATCTTTTTCCCCATAAACTAACAGAAGAGGCACTGAGGAGACCAGGCTGACCAACTAATCTATAGTCAGCTGGAGATCAGACTAATCACCCGCTCTGTCTTAACCTTGATTGAATGAGAAGAGAGCTCTTATTGAATTGGGACCACGACTGAGGCGCTAAAGAAAATTTCCCTTTGGGTACCTGAACACACTAGTCTGAAAGGGCCTATAAGGTATGGCACGTGCGGGAAAGAGAGTAAAAAATAAGCTGTAACGTAACTAGTGCACAGTGGTCGATACTAAAACAGACTTGTGGTAAGAACGTGAAGTGAGCACATCGCCCATGGTGACTTACATACTGATTTGAATACTTTATGTTCATTCAGTGCAAATGCTTCTGGGCTTGAGGGCCAAGGTCGTTCGCATCTATGCCTATTTGTATACTATAGAATTTATGGGGCCTAGCTTACGCATTCTATATATGCATATATCGCGTAAACTTGCTAGTGAAAACTTCTATACATATGTGTATTTGTGGGAGATGTGGACATTCCTACGTTTTCCGTAATTACATGTACAGCATTCTAGCAACTGTGCTCATCTATGCCTATATGTATACCTGGGGAATGCATGTATCTTTGACACCTGCATTTGTATATATCCATATGAAGCTACTTATTAGTAGTAGCTTATCAAAGCTTTTGGCTTAGATAAAAGATTCCAAACGTGATAGGAAAAGAGTAGTGTAGGTCAATAAGAATATGTCTACAATGAACACTGTAGTGGTATACTATTCCCTAAATACACATATTCTCCAGTGTCCTGTGGTACTGTATTCTCAAAGCTCATTTCCACTTCTTTGGGGAGGTAACTAAAACCAGTGGAATAACTAAAACCTGGAGGACCAATGAAAATATAGAAACACTAGTCAGTTAGTCATTTAATCTTAATCTGGAACTATTCAACATTACACACTATTATAATCATTAATTGATACTGGGAACTTTTGTCTTACATAGTTGTACTAAATTACCATTGGAATTTATCTGACCTGTAAATATGGAAATGGTATTAGTTCTAACGTATATTAATGCATTGTATTCAATAAATGATTATCTATTTTCTATTGAGTTTTAATTACACTTCGTAAGCTACACCATGAAAACCTTCAATATTTCTCAGTTTTTTACAACTATTTACTGGTCATCAAAAATTAATTTTGACAAAAATTAACGTTTTAGTTTAAGACTATTCATAAGAAAGTTTATACATGGCGATATTGGAATAATAAGCTTAGATTTTTTTTATTGACAGGAAGGCTTAACTTGCTTATTGACTTTCAGATTGAAAGTGATTTTCCAGGTATCTAAAATCTGAAATGTAGATTAATCTTAAAAAGAGAAAAAGATATTATTGAAGCAACCTATTACATTAACTGTCATATGATACACCCACGTTTGTTGAAGTATTTGTGACAAGAAGGTCAATATTAACATAAATATAGTGATATAATGAATTAATTCTATAGTCAACCCCTTACTGAAATGTATTCAACCGATCTTTCTACATAAAAAAAGCATGGACTGTTTAAAAATTGCAACAGAGTATTTCAGTGTCAATCGACACATTTACATGTTTATATATGAATTTGATTTTACTACACCCACAAGCGTTAGAAACAAAAGTGCGTAGGCAATTTTAAACCAAATTTATAGGTTAACTAGATTGGGTTTCTTTATAGTAACCAATCTGTGCTTTATAAATAAACTGGGAAAAACAAAAACAAACTACTTTTAACATAGCTTCGATTGCTTCACTTATTCTGAGGACATAAGTTGAATTATAAGTTTTTAGTATTTCGGTTATTTGGATACGGTAGTGTTGTTTCTTTGGATTTCGGTGACGATAATCATGGCATCAGCAGACGTTGGTATGGCGTACCAGCCACCTTCTCAAATAAGTCCTCAGAGTGGTAATATGACAACATCAACTAAAGTGCTTAATCTTTCGAGAGCCCAAGTCAACTTGGCTCAACCAGCATATGGTGCCTATCCAACATCAGTATCCCCACAACAATCCGCTCACACAAATGCTTATAATTATGCAACGCAACAAAGTCAATCACCCCCATTTTATGCTTATCCCAGTCAGACAGGAGTTGGACAACCTGATAACAACTTTAATAAAACAGGTTTTCAAAATTTTGCGCAACCCCAAGTTTTCACAATTGGTTCTAGTCAGGCGTCTCAAATGCAGCCAACTCAGTATCGACAGCAAATTCAACAGTCTCAACAACCGCAACAGTATCGAGTTGTTGCAACTCCTTTGCAAACTACAAACATGGAGCAACTGAATGCTTATCCTGTAAGTCAGATTAATTCGCAACCTTCTTACAACACTCAACCAAATGTCATTTACTTCGGTCAGTCTGGACAAACTCAGCAGCAATTACCGCTACAGCAACCTTACCATCCAGAAACACAACAGCAAGCAGGTCAAGTGGTATATGCAAGACCAGCCAGTCAGTCTTACGCTCCTCCAGGAACTGCCTATCCAACTCAAGCACAATTTACACCACAGGCTAACACAGGCGCATTATCCTTTCAGCCAACCAATCAGCTAACACCTTCGTCCCAGCCAATCAGCGTTCAGCCCGGTTATCAGGTTAATCAAACAGGCCAGCAGAATTTTAATCAGGCATCAAGATTTCAACACGTGTCAAATCCTCTACCACCTTCACAAACTCCCCAGTTTCAAGTGCAAAATCAACAAGTTTATTCTCAAATTCAATCAAAACCTCAATCACTAGCACAACCTTACACTTCACAAACTAATTTTAATCAAGTTGAACAGAAACCAACACAAGTTGCACAATCCACTTGGAGTGCACAAGCTAATAATCAAGTAATTGATAACAGAGAAAGACAACAATATTATCAACAACAACAACAGCCAGTTCAAACTTATCAACAAGTTCAAACTAATCAGTTCAACACACAGAATACTTTACCACCTATTGTATCTAGTCAAGGATTTGATCAACAAGTACCCAGACGTATACCTTCTGGTGGTCAGTCAAAACAAATTAAGGTCAAATCACTGGTAAGTAGTAACACTGAATATAATTTCGATAATTAAACTACATTTAGATTTGATATTTTTTGATAAGTCGATATATATCGATAATTGTTTGTTAATTAACTGTATATGATAAATAGTTAATTAGTTAGTTCCACAGATATTTCTCTATAAGGGAACCGTTGATATTCTCATTAGTTAAGAAGGAAACAGAATATCAATTATGTTCACATGAATCATTCAATAGTTATTCTTTAGAAAATATTAAAATAACTTACATTTATTAGTAATTTGTCAAGGAGACTCATACTTTAGGACGAATTATATAATTACTAATGAAGAATGAGTTCGATGATATAACAAAGACAATATCACTTTGTAATGAATACCACTTAAGAGGTACTTTTACTTAATTGAATAACCTTGTGTATTTTTTTTATAATCATTTGTAAAATAGAAATTTGACAAGAAAATATTCAATTAAAATGGAGGAATAATTAACTAATTATAAAATCCACTGTAAATTGTAGGACTAGAAATGTGAAGCTTATTCGTTTGATATGAACAGTTTATAATGGTGTAGATTCATCTAGATTGATTTTAGTGGAGGTTTATCCTTTAATAACTTATGTAAATATGTATTTTAATCAACATACTTCTTATTAGTTTAATAGTTGAATTCATTAGTCAACTGAAGCCTGAAAACTATGTAAAACCTGGAAGCGAATCGGTATCGTAGATGCGCACTGCTGAAGAGTCCCATACTAGGACGAAACGGTCGTCCACTGCTTTCAGGTTTTCCATGGTGGTCTAGCTTCAATTGACTCATGAATTCAACTATTAAATTACTATAATATCCACAAAACCTTTCTCTGATTCTAAATAATTACTGAAATAAGCGGATAAACAAATTACAAATTGATGTTATGCTAAGCTCTGTGAGTTTTTTTCCTGGCGATATTTACATACGAAAGTGCAAAACATAACTAATTTTATGGAACATGATTTTCTACAAAGGTATCAATTATTTCATCATAACATAGTCTCTTTTATGATCTAACGTGTGTGTTGAAATAGTTGAAAACCTTCAAATAATCAGCAACTATATAACTGATGTCCAAGATTACTTCGTTGTAGGATAATTTATACAAAGAACTAGTGTTTTTCATTTGTACAATCATTTCGGTTGAATTATTCGTTATGTAAAAGAATTATCACAACAAAATATAACCTTGTTTAAGAAGTAATAGATTGTTGAAGCTTCAATACACGATATAGTATATACTAGTCAGAATATTCTACTAACACTTTCTTACAATGTGCTTGTAATTGTGTATATCTACAATACAATTTTTATAACAGTTTTACATGTCTAAATAGGCGATTTAAATGTCCTTAATATTCTGCCTAAATAGTCTATTAATCAATCTGTTTTCATAATCGTTTACTATCAGGTTATTCTATACTATTATCTTCTTGAACCTCTTTCATATATGATGTTCCTGGACTTCTATCACAGACTCTTCGGGTATCATCCCAGTTAGTCCCTTTTCCTTTCCTAGAGTACTAATCATTTTCCATACGTTTAGAAGAGTAAGACTAACTAGTTGACTAAAGCCTCTATGCCATCCATCTACCCTGTTTTCCGTATTACAGAAATTATTCTAATCAGGAATATAGATGTTTCACGGTACGCTTTGAAAAGTTATATCAGTAGGATCTTCGAGTCTTGTTTGTTCGCCGACCTAACTCTCTTTAGAATAATTCGCGAACACAAATTTTTACTTTAATCCCTACGTAGGATGTCAACTCCGTTACTGTCATATGCAGCTGTAGCTTCTGTGACTAGTGCATTAACTAATGTTGTCAAACAACGGTTCTGCAAAGGACGATTTTCAACTGTTGTAGGACGTTGAAGGTATGGTGATTGCTGCAGTCTCCACCATATACATTAATTCAAGTGGAACAAGCAACCATTTTGTACTGAATTTGAATATAATTTTCGAAATACCGTTAAAACTGAATATTTCTAATCATTTATGATATTTGATGAATTCAAAGTTCATTCAAATAGTTGAAGGAACACAAATACAAATTTGTAATTTTTCCGTTTATCAAAATGTAAACCAAGGAAATGATCGTGTAGCATTTTTTAGTATGGATCGTCTAGGTATGAGTATGGAGGCGGGTTCCTAAATGTTCTATCGACGTATCTATGGCGTTATGTTTCCAAAATCTCTACATTCTAAGTTTTAGAAAACATCAAAATGAATTTCTTCTCCGATTCACTATCCTGTGGAAAAAAGATTCTCCCCTGTCACATTTGTTTCGTATTCAGTCAGTGAATTTTGTACTGCATCCAATGAACTTGTATTTGATAAAAAGGCCTAATGGTTATATCGCGCGCTCCGAATTATCTACTTCATCTGAATCACAGATACAAATTGGACTAACACTGTATATGACAAATGAGTAGATACCATTTTAATGTATCACTTCTGTTGATGAAGCTGCTTGAGCTTGTATTTTACTGATTACTTGTTTTGTGTTATTGTTATTATTACTAATAATAATAATGGCTTTATTCAATATTATATTTTGGTACAATATAGACCATTGTATCTACCTTGAACTTTATCTGAAACATGATTATATTCTTTTGCCCGTTTTGCAATGGCCTCATGATAGTACTGTTATTTCCTTAACTTTACGATTACTGCGAATACGATTGCCAAATTTAGATACGCGGACATATACGACCAACTAATGAAGCATACACCTGTAAAAACAGCCTAGAGTCCTGATTGATCCTTTTCCCGCTAGCCCTGCCTGTTAAACCCAGAAAATCAATTTCAGCCTCCGCTATATGAATAATATATTTCAAACATAATTGGTTTATATACAAGCCAAACAGATCACATAAAAAATAGATAATTACATTTGTACAAGATCAAGCCAGAAAATGGCTGTGACTGTAATTAATAAAATGAGCATAAAGTAAGAATAGTAAATTATATAATAATAATAATCCATAGGTCAAAATAAAGCTTATAATAAGAGGAATATGAATATATATATAGTTTAGTTACTTAACAAATATAAATAAAAATATATGTATAGTACTAATCTCTAAACAGATCCCAACAGTTACCTATCATTATCCTTGTCGGGATATAACAAGTACAACCTACACTTTGCTGTACAATATTCTCTGAATCATCAAATCTCTTTGCCATCAGTACTTTTTTGTTCTTTTTGTATATGTAACTCGACAGCCTCCGTAACTTTTACTTATTCTAATTTCTGTCATATAGTTCTTTACCTGTACATGTAATTAGATCATTTTTAATTTACATCAAATAAATTGGCATAAACTTATTTCATGTACCAATCACATATCCAATACAATTAATTAATCATTTTGCCTAATATTTTTTTACATTTCTTGTAAACTGATTCTTAACTGTTCGTTATGATGCAAATATGATCAGTTGGTATCTTCAAGAAACAGATTTTCAATTCTTTTACTTCTCATATTCATCAATTCATGTTATTATCTGAGTATGTAAATCAATTACTTTAGATCAGAATCGATCACAATGGCGTCAGTGTATACACTCTTTGTCTTCCCTTAAATTGGGAGATTAAAATTATTTTATACTTCTCCTTCTACGAACTAATTTCCTTCCTTCGTCTATTGTATCCTTATACACAATCTTTCTTTTAAATATTATTACCATTGAAGTAACTACTTCTATGAATTTGGTGTTTATCTTGTTGTGCTAATGGGGTGTGGCAACTTGGACCGATGAATATTTATGTCTGGTCTTACTTTGTAGCTGAGTGATTGATTAATATCATCAGTTTAAAATTCTTATTTATATGAATTGTAATATTAATGTTTAGGAAATGAATAATGAAATGACCCACCAATTCATTTGCCTACATATGTTGTATTCTTCTACAGTTTCTGCTAATTATAGTTGATTAATTCGTTTGTAGGTTCATTGATAAAAATATCTGAATCAAAATAATGTAAATTTGCAAAAACATATTCACTAAATACGTTCAATAAATTACTTCATATGATTATACTGAAACTAGTACCAACTAGCTTCATCATGAACTTTACATTCTAGTTTTGTTTTGTTGTAGAATCGTTACAAAAGAACCCAGTGAATACTTATATTATAAAGATTATGTTCCATGTTAGTGTAGACAGTTATTACGTGGTAAGTAAAGATTTATGTTTATAATTCAATAGTCGTAACACTTGATGATGCATGGAAAGCAGCTGAAGAAAACATAGATAAAGGAAATTATTAGTGAGATATTACCTGATAGTTCAGAATGGCTTAGAAGTTGAGAATATACATATTTTACAGAATCACATGCATTCCACTCATGATTCGCGTATGAACCAGTTCTGTTTATATAAATCTGATTCAATACTTTTATGTACACTAAAGCTGTAATTTTTTTACAATCTAACTCAACTGATTGTTTTTGTTTTCATTTAGCCAATGCGTAATTCGGTTAGCATAGATGGTATTGACTCATCTGGTCCACCACAGTTTGTTGTCCATCCTGTAGGCCAACTAACCATAGCAGAAGGTGAACCAGCTAATATAACTGCTCGTGTACGTCCGGCTGGTGATAGTACATTGATTGTTGAGTGGTATAAAAATGGCAAGCCATTACCAGCAGGTATGTATTTGTATTGTAAATCCTCATTATACTATGTTCTCCTAATTTATCATTGGATTTTTATACATATTAGATTTATTATAAAATTCATTTGATAGAATATTTTAAGTGTATATTTATGAACAATAGTTTAATGACCTTCTAGCATACTTCACTAGGGTCAGACAATCATTTATTTCATATGGACCATTAGTTTAATGTTACAAACTCATGATATTGACGTAAACCTGATGCGTTTAAGCACGAAATATATTTTGATTTGATAAACTCAATCGATCAGCTATAAATGAGCAGTCCAGAACTTGGTACTTATGTACAGTGATCAAAGATAACAATAAGTATGTTTTTCTCCTACGCTTCTTATTGTCTGCCTGAATTAACAGATTTATGAAATGTAATTATCCAAAAACATTTTCAAATTTAACTTACTGTATTCCGTTATTCATTAATGCAATTAAGTCTGCGAAACTATTCAGATTTAATCAAGGAAATCATCATCATTCCTCATCGATTTCAAGTGGAGTCCACAACAGGTACTAAGACTTCACACCTATATATCAGTAGAAAGTTAATAATATGAGAACTGAAGAACTTGGAAAAGAACGAAAGCAATCAAAAAGTAGAAACTTATGGGATAACAATTAAAACTCAAGGTTAGGAAGAAATAGCAAATAAATACATAAAAACTACTGTGACAAAATTTGTCACAATTTAAGTTTGAGAAGTATAGGAGGCTGAGGTGACTTCACTACACCTGGCTACAGAAAGTCTCCGGCTGATCCAACTTTATTTTGAATAAATTGACTGATTAAAAATTCATTCACGTGTTGAGGTGCAAGACGTTCCGCTGCCTGTTGATTCGATAGAAAAGTCAGTAGCCACCAGACAAGTAGTTGATTAAGATATTGGAGTATCCTGGTAAATCGTCTGCTCTGAGAGACAAATAAATTGAGGACATCAGAAAAAAGTTATTATTCTGTATTTTGTAGATCGTGATTAAGTCTCAGCTAGTCTTTCTATTCGACAAGACGGGTAGGTTTCTTTGACAATTTTTCTTTGTACCTATTCCAAAAATTTACCCTCTGTATTTGTATATGGGAAATTAAGTTAGCACATGATTTGATATTGGAAAGTAGTCACATAATATCGTGAATTAATTGAGGTTAGACATGTAAACCGCTGAATCCCGACTCCTCTCGTTTGGACGTTAAGCGTCCGGGCGCGAAACCACAGATTTTTTATTTGTTCCCATGACGGTGATCACGGGTACGTTCTGATGATTAGTCCCATACCAAGACGAAGCTGCAGTCAAGCACTTTTTGATTCTTAATGGTGGTTTAACTAGGGTGAGTTCATGAAATAAATATAAAATATGGGAATCCTACGGGATACGCTTTCAGCATAACGTATGAAGAAAAAAATTGCATTCGTATTCAGTGCAAATGTAATTCAAAAGAAACATAACAAGTAAACAACACAAAATTTACAGTGCTCATTCTCGTATATTTCATAATGATCCGTGTTAAATCAGTTATAAAACAGCCAAAAATAGCATAAAAGTACAACTTTTCACAGTGTTGATCTTCCACACATTAGACTTTATATTAATGAGAATATATTCGAAAAATCTCTGATTGAATTTTAAGTAAATTCAATGTTTCTCTTGTCAATCCGGTCCGTGCTTTTTCAAGGAAATATGATCAAACATCAAAATTATTGAGTATAAATCGATACACGGTACACTAAATAGTCTATCCAATTATGTTAGAAATGTTTAAAGTACATATTTGCTATAGTACGTTTGAGACATTTGGTGTGTAACGAAGTGTGTTAAGATAACAGATTGTGTATTCTTTTAAGTGGATCAATATTTTATCTTAGTAAATCCATGTTATCTTTTTCTTTTCCAAGCTTCTCGTTTCACAACGACATTTGATCGAGGCTACGCAGTGCTCGATTTTCTATACGTGAATGAGGATGATAATGGAGATTATTCCTGTGTAGCAACGAACAGTCAAGGCCAAGACCAATCAAGCAGTTGTCATGTGACGTGAGTGATTATAATCACTTTTTTTTCAATGAAGCTTCTGTTTCATTTTTCACCAGCGCTTTTTTTCTTCTGCATGACAATGTAAGGTGTTACAGGAATGTGGTAAATCCAATTACTGATAACATCACTGAGTTATACCACCAGAAAATTTTCTCATTATCTTGTGATTAATCATTGAGTTGGTTATTAAACTGAGTAGTGATAAACTGCACATTTTAGTTAACTAAAACAGCAGCTGGTTGTAAAGTTTCAATAAAAAAATTGTCTTACTGTGTATGAGACATAATGGTCTACTTGTATTGGCACCAGTGAAACAAGTACCATTTCACCGACATATAAATTTGATTACATGCAAAGTGTAAGTTGCTAATTTCATGATAGTTGAACTGTCTTGGTTCACGCTACTCATCAATTAAATATTATGAAACAAGATAACTCAAATAAAAAAATTTGTCAGTTTCAATATAAATTTAAGCGTTCATTATAATAACTACTACTAACTAGTTATATTACGATAGAAACTGTTAATTTTAAGGAATATGTACAATTTAAAAGTTCCATTTTCTCAATGTTTTCTCAGAGGTTGTCTAATCGCTCTGCATATTATACCGTATCATCAACTTGTATATTTTCATTTTAAACGCGATTTGTACAGAAGATAAAGGGTTCTTAATTTGGGTCACAAAACAGTTCATTGATTGATGTAATAATACATTATATTATAACAACAAATACAAACGTCCCCAAGATACTAACTGTTACCATGCTCGGTTTTGCTTCGTCTAATGTTATAACGGTTGGGTTTCCACTTTTACACATGTGGGACGTTAATTTACCTTAGACGAATATCTACACTAGATTCCCTCTAAATGTCTATTCTACAGGACGTCAAAACAACTCAGATTAAGGAAACGTGATTAGCCTGACCACAAGGTAAATATATTTCCACACCAAAAACCCGACGCAATCCAACAACAATGAACAATCAACAATAATTATAAGGATAGGGGAATATATAACTCATGACACCTGTCATACTATCTACATGTCTGACTAAGCAAACAACCAATCATTATCATTCTCACCCACACATCACTAACCCTATTTAATGTGTCTGTAAGTATGGTTACCAAGGTTTAGACCCGATAATTTCTAATAATGTGATACGAGGTTCCTGTAGATATTATAATGATTTTAATAGTTGAGAGCACGACTCAATTGAAGCTAGATCACCATGAAAAACCTGGAAGCACTGGACTCCTTAGCAATACGCATCCGTGATCCCGTCTCGTGATATTCTAATCCAGGAGTCCCACATTTGTTTTAACGGAGTAAGTATTAGTGAAATGATTCATTTCCATTGATTGTTTGAATCTTCCGACTGATGTTTATGATTGCAAGTGATCAAATTATTTTGATATAAGGGCGTTCTGTGCGGATTGTTTCGATATTGCTTCAAGTCACAAGGTTATTAGTGAAATGATTGTGGAATTTTACACAATGTGGGTAAACTCTCTTTATATCGGTGATTATTTTTAGGAACAATCAACTCTGGTAGAGTAACTTACTATAAGTAGTTCAATATAAAAATTATAAATGTGTTAAGCGTAGCATTCCCTTGGTAAACTCAGAATATTCAGTAATGTTACAGTTTATTTTATTAAGATGAACCAATCCGGTCATTATTTATACTGACCTATTATTGAGTTTTGTTTCTTGAAATCAGACGATAAGAAATTACAGATATATGCGTGGTAGAACTCATTGTTATCAAGTAATGAGGTTAGTTGAAATGCCTCAACGATACACAATCATTAGGTATCTAATATTGATCTGAAAACAGCTCACTCAATGTAATATATATATATATATATATATATATATATATATATATATATATATGGATTTCCAGAATTCGACCTCTGATAAGGTTTTGGTTGATTAACAGCGACGTAACTCATACTATGAGTAAGAGAGACAGTTTGGTGTTGATTTCTCCAGTCTAAAGTATTGTCTACAAATTCGGCCGAAAGTTCTATCTTCTTTAATCGGAAGACTATATTCTGCATTTCACTTTTTGTCAACAAGTTTTACAGTTTTATATGATAATGGGAATATCTATCTAATTGTTTGCACTTATTTCAAGTAGTATAAGAAAAGGTTAATGCAGTTTCGGTCAACCATTTTCATTTTCTAGCTCGCGTTCCCTGAAATTTTAAATTAGATAGGGTAATCGGTTCAACTGTTTCGTAAGTTTCATTTTCTCGTAAAAGTATCCCTCGTGTAGTCTCCGTTTGTTATTCGTTTTCATTTTTTATTCAATTATCAAACATATAAGTTAATTCTATTTTATTTATTAAGAATTATACCAGAAGAGGGAGTTGTCACTGAAACTCAATTACCAGAAGAATCTATGATTGCAAATCTAGCTATGATGGAAGATCATTTAGTAAGAAATGGATTAGATAGAGCTAATCGTTCTCTGACGATATACGTCCAACAAATCCACCAAATTTTCTTAAACCACTTGCACCACAAGTTGGTCTTCGTGAATCGGCTCCAGCACATTTCGAAACATGTGTAGAACCCACAAATGATCCTTCGTTAACAGTTGAATGGTATAAAGATGGCAAACCTGTTAGCATGGGTATGTATAATTATACTTTTTTTTATATCGACTGTGTAATGCAAGTGTTTAAAGTGGTTAAAGTTTTGTTTCACTGAAACTTCTTTTAGTTGTGAATATCCACGTATAATAATTATTAAATTGAGAAAATGAAAGAAGTAATTTATATCATAGGTTATATCATCGAGCATGTAGCTCAGATCTTTAAGTTGATGTCATTTATCAATCATTATCATTTTGGAATAAATAATTTTAATATTTGTATTCTAGCTTTAGCTTATACAAACTATCATAATTCGAGTTAATGGAGAAAATCTTTTTTTGGGATTGTTTAATCATTTGATGATTATCCGGAAGATTTTGTAGCTGTACCTCATTACGATCGTCAATAATACAATCGTTGAACTATGTACTGAATTTAAAAATTTAAAATTGATTAAAACAACGAGACAGACTACTGAACAAATTTTTTGTAGATGACATCTTTTTCTTTATCACAATTGGGGTTTGTGGAGTTTGTAGTAAATTAATAGTTGAGTTCGTGAGTCAATTGAAGCTAGACCACCACTGAAAACCTGGAAGCACTGGATGGCTGTTTCGTTCTGCTATGGGACTTCACAGCAGTGCGCATCCACGATCCCGCACGAGGGACTCGAACACAGGACCTTCAACACTCAATATGATATGTTAATTTCTTGCAACTAAATCCTTTGATGAATTTAAAGAGTGCGAGAAAATAAAGTCGTGTGGAATAAAATGAGTTCGTAGATCTATTTCACAGCTTATTAATAGCTGTATATAGTCCGAAGGTACATTTGTTAATATAATTAGGAATGAACTGTTTAACATACTTTAGTTTGTGCAGTTTACATGAATATTCGAAATGTTAATAGACGAATCGTAGTTATCAGAATAATGCGATATAAAATGTATGAACGAATGCAGTTTAGATCAATATGCATTTCTATGTTGAAAAGTAGTAATTTAGTGACGAGTTTCCAGGTACAATCGAAGAACTAATCAAAGCGACACTGATAGAAAGTTTTCACTGACCCCAGTTGGTTTCAATAAACAACAACAAGTGTTCGTTATACCATTTAAAGGTAAATCAGTACGCATCCAACATCACCTCCAATTGTATCTATGATCTAATATTTACTTGATTTAGTAAGTATGTGAGAAGGATAGTCAGAAGAATTTCCACTAGGTTTTCTGAAGATAGTCATAGGAATTCATGCCTGAAAGGCAATAAGATTTTCACAAATGTAGCTGTCAGGTGTCTTTTAGATAGTGAACATGGAGCAAGTGTAGGTTATGAATTTACAATAATTAACAAACAGTCAATACTAATTTTACTCCGTCTTGTAGAAGCATGAGATATCAAACGTTTCTGACCTGACCTATATATATACTCATAGATTGATTTGCTTTACTTTCTTACCATGTTGAGTGATTATGCAATCAACTATAACCAGTATAAAGGTTGTAGAGATTATTGATTGAAATCATGAACTATTAGTCTCATTGGGCGCAAATAACTCCGCTTATTTTGAGTATGATTACTAGCAACTATAACGTTACATCCTATGCTCTGAATTACTACTCTTTAACATAGAAATGCATATCGATCTTAACTATATTTGTTCATATATATGATTCGTCTATTAACATTTCGAAAATTTATCTAAACTGCACAAGCTAAAGTATGTTAAACAGTTTGTTTCTAATTATATTAACAAATGTACTTTTTGATTGTAGACAGCTAGTAAGAAGATGTGAAATAAATTGATGAACTCATTTTATTCTGCATAAACTTCGTTACCCTTACACCATTTGTGCTTATAATAAGTTGACCAATTTTACTGAAAATATATATTGGCCTGAGAATCGATCAAAATCATTTTACGAATAACACATTTGGATTCAAACATGATCTTAGCTTGACTACCGTGTCTCACAACTGTGTCGGGTTTTAGATACTTATCTACTGCAAGTTATGGACGACGGTTACGCAATATCACAAATTGATTGAAGTTAGGTATGCACATCAATAGGATGTCGGCTTAGTGGTCTGGAGGTCAGGGGGTTCACTTTTGAGGCCGAACATCCTGGATCTAATCTCCTGCAGTGGAATCGGGGGTGCTATTTGCTGAGAAGTCCCATACTAAGAGCAAACGGCCACCCAGTACTTTACGACTTTCATTGGTGATCTAACCAATGTCAGTTTATGATGTAAACTGAGAAAGCTCTACAATTTCTGCAAATCCTTTTATAAAAAGTATGAAGTCGTTAAACTCATGTCCGCTAACCTTCAGTAGTGGGTTTTGATTCCTATTTTTTGCCATTGTTTCATGTTCAGTCATTAAAAAAATATATTTAGCATAAATAACTATACTTAAATGAAGGGAGATCATAATTTCTTGTTTTCAGATCTGAAACTTGATCGAAACCGTTTGTTCATCACGCCTGTTCACTTTATTAACGTTCTATTTCCTCAGAATTGATTAATACAGGCAACTGTTTATTTTCATGGAACAGTAAACACTTCATTCATTTTAATTTAATACACTAACCTTTATGAAACATTTTTTATATAGGCTGTCGTTTTAATGCTGTATTGGACCGGGGATTTGCTATGCTAGATATTCATTATTGTTATCCAGAAGACAATGGAGCATACTTCTGTGTAGCACGTAATGCAGCAGGACAGGTACAAAGCAACGTGGTTGAATTACAGTAAGTAAATAATGTTTAAGTTTTCATTTACATGAATATCTATGGTAGATGACAAGACTATTGATTTCATTGACTGTATGCTTGTACTTGTTTGTAGATTGATAAGTAGTTTTGCAACTCACGAAAATGATACTCCTATAAAGACAATGTGGAAAAATTGTCAAGAAGAAAACGACAAAGTTTATCTCCAGATCTAATGGTGTAAAGTGTATTAGGATATATAACCTGGAATTGATAAATACTATGAATAAAAACAGTATATCTGAGCTTCAAAACAAAAATACTAGTTTAAGCATAGATAATATTTCACATCTCAAGATTGTTCAATCCATACTTTTGTCAATTTATTAGTTACTTACGAATCATGATAAAAACTATTTAACTTTTGCAGTACAATGTTTCACAAAGAACAAGTTCGTTGCTTGACTAACATGATATTTTGAACAATAGCTAAACGAACAGCAGTTTATCGGAAAATAACGTTCCATCGAACACTTGTGTGTCCCGATGATCTTCAATGGTACGATTATTTGATTCAAACTGTTCTAAATGACTGTTGTTTCTTATCGATTTTATCCATTTTACCCATTTATTGAAATATAAGTGATTTTTAGTGAATTAGCTCATAATCAGTATATTTACGTCATATGTCAGTGACTGTTCTTGCGATCCCTCACATAAACGACTTAATCTTATTTGTCCTACATTGCTGATTCTGTCAATTAACTGGTGTAATCTGTTGACAAACGAATGTTTCCATTGAAAATGTTCTGTCTTTAAATAAGATATCTTATACTACCCTCCATCTCAATTTATATCACAGATGTAATGCAGATGAACATATTGTCACTAGTTCAGTATTATCGAAAGAATCAATTACATATCTTCAAAGTTTGGATGCTTGGGAAAGTGATGCAATGGCTGGGTAGGTTATATAATGAAATTATTTAATATAATTGTTATATTAACTTGTTAAGTATATTCTAATGTACACCAGGATTGGTGTCTTACTCCCTATTGTTATATCCGAGCGAAGATTAAACCACGAGTAACTCCTGAGACATATTAATTGACTAATATTATCTATATATTCTTATGGTGTAACTATTCAATAATTAGATTGTGTACATTTATATTCCTCTTATTATAAGCTTTATTTTGACCTATAGTTTATTATTGTACGATTTACGGCTCTTAAGCTATGTTCCGTTTATTGACTACTACCTCCCACGTTCACAGTCACATTTGGCCAAATGTGGCCAATAATCTAATTATTGAATAGTTACATCATAAGAATATATAGATAATATAAGTCAATTAATATGTTTCAGGAGTTACTCGTGATTTAATCTTCGCTCGGATATAAAACCTAGTGTTGACTTCAAATTGAACGAGTGATGATAGTAATAGTGATGAAACATGAGTCATACTTCTTAAGTTAACATAGATTCTATCAACTAACTACGTCAATACAACTCCGATAATAAAAATTCGAATACGAAAGCGGTTACGATGTATGTATTTCATACATTTAATTTAGAAGACAGACGAGCAGAAATATATATGAAGTAGAGAAGATAGAAAGCCAAAAAATTACTCAATACAAGTGTTAATATTAGTCATAATGAACAATACATAATGCTAACAAGAAGATAACCATTAGACAAGACAATATCAAGAGTATGGACAAACACATACAATACATAAAGTTGCAGAACCATAATGATATAAATAAAAGAGATATGTCTTATGAACAGAACAGAGTAATTAAGACGGTAAAAATGTCGCAATAGTTATATACTATCTGAGTTATCCGTCTGTTCGAAAGTTAGAATAAGCCCACACAAGTGTTATATAGCAGCAAAGCTATTATTATGAATTGTCCTTTCAATACTAGGAGGAAAAAGCTGTTTAATACTGACTGATTTTCAATGAATGTCTAACTATAATCAGTTCATGATGTCAAGTCTAAGAAATGTATTAATCTTAGATAGAGTAAATCATTGTAAATACACATAGTATCATGAAATGATTCCAATAGCTATTCATTTCAGATATAAAGAAATATTACATTTAGGAATTTATACTGACAACTGGTAGTAGTAGTTGACTATATACACGGTATACCGTGAGTCCTCCCGTGGTCCATCGATTTCTTTTAGCATTTATCCATCCTGTGAGCATTATGTTGATATTACTATTGAATCATGGGCAATTTTTAAAAAAATTAAACGATTTCAGTCTTTAATATCAACAATAGGATAATTTAAATAACCCTTACATACATATAAGATAGTGATTATTTGGACACAGTAGACTAGTGGATAACACATTGAACGTACTAAAATCCGATTTCTAATATGAACATCAACATTAAGGTGTAAGCATATCTAAAACAAATTCACGACTTGCATTCAACTGCAAGCCACTGTTTAACTATTCTCATAATGATTTTAATTTTCTGTTTGGAAAACTGATAGAATTAAAAGTTGAGACACAAAGTGGAAGAAAATCACAACAAGTAATAGCAACATACATTGTACAGTTGTTTTCTGGGCTTAATAAAAGAGAATTTAATAGAATAGATATGAAATCGTTGTTTGGTAATGGAATGTATATGAAAAACTTATGTCTTTAACTATTTGTTTGATAAAAAAAATCAAAAAACCGTCGCGTAATATCGTGAATTATTTGAGGTTATACATGTGCACCACTGGATATCGACTCAGTAATCTAAATGTTCCAGATTTGCTATTAGCCCTGCAGGTCCTGATTCCCCCCCTGTGGTGATGTTGTGAATGAGCACTACTGATGAGCCCCATATTAGGATGAAACATCTATCTAGGACTTACAGTTTCCTTCCTATTTGGGACCTTCCAGCAAGATGTACTTGTACATCAATTTTGTAGTCGCGGTGTGAATACAGATACAAAATTGTATATCAATTTAGCTGACGAGTTCTAAATTAGATATAACGCGCAACTAGAGTCTCAATTCTAGCCACAACCCATCTGTTCTATAAAAAGTTATGAAGATTGACTATATTTACGTAGTCCTCACAGAACGTACATAGTGTCAACCTATACCGGTCAAAATTCAGTCAAGAATATCAGCGAAACATGAGAAATTAAGAGCTTTTGTAATGATGTTATAAATTATTTTTATTATTGTCATTTAATTCCCTCGTAGTTATGATACAGTTAAAAGAGAGGAAGAAGAACCACCATCTGCACCATCATTCGATATTCTCCCTGTTGCTGTCACTGTCACTGAAGGTTCGCCAGCTAAATTTATTGTTAAAGCAGGTGGTTATCCAAGGCCTAAAATATTCTGGTATATTAATGGGGAATTGATAGCCTCAGTAAGTTTATAAATGACTGAACTTTTATTATTTAACTAGATAGCTCTATATTCTTTTATAGTACGATATACTATTAGTTATAAGATAATATAGCCGAACGATAATCGAGAGTTATACCACCACTACGCCGGATACACAAGCGATATGCTATTCAACGAACTGGATCACTTTACACTGTTCATGCTCAAGTATATGGAACCTGGGTGTAGTCTAGACGATGTTCATTCAACATAATGACAGTCAACCAACAAACATCTTACTTCATTAGTCCACACATAAATTCATAACTTTACGTGATTTACATCTTAATAATCTGATCACTTAATTTTGTTCGTACTCGTACTCATACTATTAATTTTAAAAATAATACTAAACATTTATATACAGATGGTTAATTTCAAACTTAATCTTTATTTGGTAGTTGAATTCATGAGTCGATTAAAGCTAGACCACAATGGAAAATGTGGAAGCACTGAACGGCCATTTCGTCCTAGTACGGGACTCCTCAGTAGTGTGCATCCACGATCCAATCCGCGGGATTCAAGCCCAGGACCTATCAATCTCACGTGTGAATGCCTAACCTCCAGACCACTGAGCCGGCATCTGACAGTGTTGATGTCTGACATATTCTATTGTGTGTTGAAGGTCCTGGGTTCGAATCCTACTGTCAGGATCAAGGATGCACACTGCTGAGGAGTCCCGTACTAGGACGGAACGGTCGTCTTGTGCTTCCAGGTTTTCGATTGTAGTCTAGCTTTAATCGACTCATGAGTCCAACTATTAAATTATTACAATATCCACAAAACCCCCTTTCTGTTAATTCTTATTCTTTCATAACAGAATGTTATTTAAATGTAAATACTCTGATTAAGTCATTAAAAACAAAAGTCGACCAAAGGAACATATATTTTCAACTCATCTTTCATTAAGGCTCTAAACTAATAAATAAGATAGCAATAAATAAAGTCAATACTGAAGAGATGGAGGTTGATCTACTTAACAATCTACTTCATTACTTTCACTGAAAACAGTATTCAGTTAAAAACTCAACAAAATTAAATCTTAGCATAATCGGAATATTTTTAAGTATTCTCAACAATAGTATTATTTAAGACGTCTGGGAAATTCAATTGATTTTTATGAAATTTAAATATAAATATATTCTGATTAGTGAGAGTGCATTGTAAAACTCTTCATTCCCAACTAGAACTAATGTTGTTCTATATTGTGATAGTGGTAACTTCATAGTTATGATATATAGTAATAAACATTGATGTCTGACATTCAGATCATTTTTCAAAGGTCGCCTGGTAACCATAGGTGGTGGTACGAAGAAGTTAGATCATGGTAGATCTTCTGTAGGATGTAGATGTTCAGATCACAATCGGCCAAAGTATAACACACATACATAGGGAGGAGTAATCGAACAATGCATTCAAGGGTCATGGAACATGTGCCTAGATGGCTTCAAAACCAATAAGTGTTAAAAGATCTGATCAATGTTTGAGGTAGAAAACCAATTTCATCGATATTGAAGCATACAATTCAAACGGGGCACAAAATTGACAAAATATAACTACCAATTTTGTGTTGTCTATCATGAATAACTCAGTTAAAATGTCAGACATACTACCTGATGAGAGTTCAATCCCATTTCACTGGAAAATCTATGCCCTAACAATCGCGGTTACATTTTATTGACAAGTACCAAATAAGTCTGGAATTTTTTTGGATTAGCTTTGACTGCCTAAAATATCTAGACGCACACAATGGTGTTAAGTCACTTAAACAGGAGATCACGTTGGAACAGGATTCCATATATCGATCATTAAGATTTCGAGTTCTATATGATAACTATAAGGTATCAATTAGGTTGTTCTGGAAAAAATTATGTATACACTTAATTCAACCAACTAGTATGTTAAAGGTTTGCTTTTTATGTCAGCTACGGAAAATTATATGTATAGGTGTCTATGTAGTTCATAATATTTTCATGTTTTCTACAAGTTGGAATAGATAATATTAAATTATTCATCTTGACATAATGGGGAATATTTATAGTACAAGATACAAGTATTCGAGATGTTTTACTCTCTAAGCTGGATGGTTTAAGTATGAAGCAATATAGATTGTTGGCTCTACTATCATAAACTTTATCATTACTTAACGAGTGTTAATGAAGTGAATTATAAACATAATTAAGATTAGCTCGTTTTCTGAAATCAAGTTCTAACTGATAAGTTAATCACTGTACAAATGATACCAACATCAGTTTGATTTTGAAGCTCATGTTTTTCAGCATTGCAGTGGTGATGTTTAAGATAACAAGATAGTAATAGAATATTTACTGAGTAAGTTTCTAGCTGAGAAATTAATTCTATTTGAACCTAAACACACAATATATATATGTATTAATGAACAACATAAAAAATAGGCCATTTTCAATACATAAAAACGTACATATCAATGTAAACTATGAATTCCCATTGTTTTTAATCACCTGTTTATCATTAGTCTGGAGGTGGAGGAAATTGGAGAATATTTCAAGATGGTGGTATTAGTAATTTAGAATTTCATCGTGTTGGTACACCTGGTGAATTACATATTAAAGCTGTTGCAAGAAATAATATGGGTGAAGCTGCTGCTGAAACAATATTGATTATTGAACCACAATTAGACTTTAGACCAGATCTACGTCATGTTGAACCAGGTAAATAGATTTAAATTTTCTGAATATGTTTACTTATATTTCACAACATGAACTCATTCTTCATGGTTATTTTCTTTTTTTTACTCTTCCAACTATAATGAACACTAATCTCAATTTTTCCTGCATTTTCTTAGAAGTCACAATTTTATTAGTATAGGGTTGTGAAGATTATCAAATTTTTGATTGAGATCATGAATCCACTGATGTTCACTATTGACTAGCTTCGTGAGGGAATTCTCGAGGTTCTAATGAGAAGCCGTAACCAATGGAGCTAATCCATGTCGGATAGAGACAGGTATCTGCCTCAGTACAATGAAAGATGGTCGCACAATTTCGTGAACTGGTGTAGGTTAGACATTAACACCGTCGGATTCCGGCTAAGTGGTCTAGAGGTAGAGCGTTCGCTTGCGAGACTGAAGGATCTTGATTCGAATCCACGAGTGAGATCGTAGTTTCGAACTGCTGAGGAGTGACACAATGGGGCGAGACGGCCGTCCAGTGCTTTTAGGTTTTTAATGATGGTCTAACATCAGTCAATTCATGATCTCAATCAAAAAGTCAGAATCTTGTTTACTTTTTCAAAACAAATAGAATTTTATTATTTGATCATATTATACAACTTTACTTGGAATGAGTTTAATGTGCAAATATTTTTTACCCTATAAATTTATGTTTTCATGTCATTTAGACACTTCATAAAAGTACAAAGCTAGAACGTACCTGATATCATCTGATAAGTGAGATTAAATTTCACAAGTCGATGAATCAACTGTAAGATGTAAATTTAACAATTATTTTGATTTAATGGCTGTATAATAATATTTTCTTGTGATGCGATATACTTACTTGCTTATACCAGTTACTCCTTGGAAAACATATGCCGCTGACCAGAATCCAAATAACCTATTCTATCCTGGGCTGTCCTTCCTAATTGTTGCCAAATACTATTTATTCTTTCTTCTGATGTCTATCCAAAAAGCTGTCTGTCCTTTTTTTTCCAATGTAACAAAACTATGCATATATGCTCTACATTGAAATTAATTTACAAGTTCTTATATAGTTTAACTGTCAAAAGAATTTGATGTAAAAATTAAAAAAATATCCCTCCAGATAGAATAGTTTAGTGTATACTGTGTTGCAAAGATGTAAAAAAAAAGAAAGAAAAATAACGTGTATAATATCGTAACATGTGTTCATTAAAATGTCACAATAGTGACATTTAATACTTGTCATTGAATAGAAAGTACATTTTACATAATTTACGACCAAACAATTGATATTTGACTGTTGTTTATTTTAAAATATAGTTCAGTTTGTTTTTTTTGTACGAAAATGATTTTCTGTAGTTGTAATATCTTTGAGAGATATTTGCTATTTCACTGGTTGAAATCATAAGTCATTTGAAGCTAGACCACCATGGAGAACATGGAAGCACTGGACGGCCGTTTCGTCCTAGTACAGGACTCCTCAGCAGTGCGCATCCACTAGTTGGTTAGGTGCCTGGCGCGAGACCGATAGGTTCTGGGTTCGAATCTCGCGGGTTGCGGGATCATGCATGCGCACTGCTGAGGAGTCCCATATTACGTTTAAGTAACCTACGTTTTAGCTAAGCATCATAGTTTAATCACAGTATTACTCTACATATACAAGGTTAAATATCTGTTATAGAACTGTGAAATAAATAATAATTCTGGCAGGAAAACGTTTATCAAATAAATAAATCGAGTTGTTGTTTTAGAATAAAACAACTTATAATTCTTCTATGTAAAATAAGGAAACTGGCTGATAAACAATGTAATTAAAGAGACAAGAAAAGGTTTGGATCTGTTATAATAATGAGAGGGGAAGAAGTAAACTAATTAGTCTATTAAAATCAATAAGACAATTGAAAGTCAACTGTCGACTCTTGCAGGATATAAGCATCACTTTTGATCTATATAGTTTCTATGATATCTGTATGAAATAAAATTTCAAGGACAGTGCGTAATCGCATTATACTGGCGCTATGATTATCCATGAATGTCACTTTTATAAATCTAGGTATTTGTTAGCGAGTTCGTTCATCGTAATATGATTTTGATGCTGTGTTCGCTTCTGGCTACTGGCTGAGCAAAAGTAGAACTGCATTTTAAACCAACAATCTTTAGGTTTTGTTCTCAGCTTTTATCTCCCTATTATCATATCATCGATTACCAAGTCACTAATACTACATAGACGATCTATGCAAAATTATCAATGCTTGGAGAGGTTAATACAACTCCCATTCTGTAATTACGGCCCAATCACATGGGTTTTGATAAAATCCAAGTATATTAATTTGATTTGAATCGTTTGAATGATCCTATTATTGGTATTTTGAGTGAAATTTAATCAACTATGGAATACAGATGCATTCGACTGATGAGTCTCGGGTAAGACGAATCATAGATCCCACTGCAAGCCACATTACATCTATTCTATATAAATCCAAGTATCTACTTTTTCGTTACGTCAGTTACATAGTATAAAAGTGTATGCTTATAACCCGTTTAAGATTCAGAAATTATGCGATGTATTATTGAAGACATCAGAACTTTCGGAACTATCATACAGATTGCTAATGTCTATATTTTAATTATATCATTGTCAGATAAGTGATTTATTGTATTTCTACATTCAATGGGTTGTAAGTTACTGTTAGACCTATTAACTATAGCAATACGTTTCATTATCCTTTCATTATTGTCTTGTTCTCTAATAGCGTGATTTTCTGTAAAGTATGATTTCAAATTCGAGGTGCACTGCGGTCTGATAAGTCATGTGTATAAAGTCTTTAAAGGAGATATATTGGGTGATTGAAATTTGATAATAAAATCTTTACTACTTTGTCTTCTTATTCGAACTCAAGAGAATACGTTTTGAACCGCTTAGTCTCGGCTGCACTCAAGGTTAATCTAGCCAGTTAAAGTGTAGAATTAGTCGATTTATATTTATTTATTTGAACACATAAACGTCAATACAAACGAGTACCACATGCGTATGCGCCGCACAAGTCACTTGATTTGTGTTGGCTGTGATACTGCCTGGGTGCTCAGACCGAGCCACACTCGTAAACTTCGACCTAAAAGTCTGACCCACAAGGCAGTGGAGCAACGTATGAAGGTGGATCTTCCATATCCACCAACTCGGTTAAAGCGCTGAACATTCCCTTTTCGTCCTCTCAATTTCGTACGCAACAGTAATGTCGCGGGAAGGCAGTGAGTAGGACTTTTCTGACTGTGTACGCGCGACCATATGAGAGCATTTCTAGAAGAAGAGCAAACTTTCCATACCCTCGGTCGTACCAGGGTATTTGGAGACAGAATTAGTTGAAGCTTAGAGCGCTAGACGATCTTCAAAGTAGTTGTATACATGGAGTAAAGAAATTATTACTTGGCCTTTGACTGGTGAATCATGTCTCTCAATACTGTACAGTTTGTATCCGTAACAATGTAATTTTTGCTTTTTCTTTGTTATTGTTTGTAAAGAAATATTTAAGATTTTTATTTCAATAATTTCTAACACTTCAAGATTGTATTTGAATAAATTGTTTGATTTTACTCTTTATAATGTAGAAAATCCATTCAAAAAACTTGCGCAATTGAAGAAGGTAAAATGTAGTGATGAACTTTCATCAGCTTTTCGCAAACCAAAGGCCCAAGCGCTTGATTTACGACGTTTAGAACGGGGTGAGTTCAAGTGTTTCCATTTGTCATTTTTACTTTATGTTTACACATCATTCATTTTTGTTGTGCTCGCACACACACACATCAGTCAGTCATTCAGCTGCAACGTAGGACCAGGCACATATATGCATTGGTCCAGGTTGCCATACCTCATTAGCACAGCAAGATGAACACCGGATTCATAGGAGTGGTTAGGTCAAAGGTGGTAATATATAGGAGAAAGATTGCATATAAGGATACAGTACAGGAAGAAAGAATTAGTTAGTAGAAAGAAAGATATGAAGTGATTTTAATCTCTTAGTTTAAGGGAAGACAGGGAGTGTATACACCGACGCCATTGTGATCGATTCTGAGCCATGTCACCAAGAGTCTCCAACCATCGGTTACGAAAGTCACGCGGACCCAACCAAGTAGTCTGCATCTACCAACATGGCTCAGACTAGAAGTTAGTGTCTTCAAGCACACACACACATACATATATGTGAAAATTTGCAATTGTTGTTGAAAAAAGAAAACAAACTATTTTAGAATAGGTGATTCCACTGAACAAAAGCTATCCCGTGGATACAACCTTTAAACTAGATATATAAAATCCTTGTGTTTGGATGACATGGCAAATCCAAGAGTAGTTTCAATGCTTTGTTATCGTAACAGGTATATATTTAACTTCCCACAAAATCATTGAATTAATACAAGTATTCTCTCTGCTTGTTTACTTAAAAATCTCGAGAGAAGGAATGCACTCCAAATTAAGTTATAAATATTCATGCTGGATTATGAAGGCTTTTTTAGTTCAAAATATGTATAAACTAAAACACTGAGTATTGTAGTAAAGTATATAATGGAAAACGGTTTATGAAATTAGTAACAAATTTACAGTTAGTTTATTCATATTAGATTATGAAAGTATCACAGCTTCTAGATTGGATCGTAAAACTATCAGTTTTAAATTTTCACAATAACATATAAGCGAACAATATTGTTTTCAATTGGATCCTCATCAGGCTAGAGCAGTGAAGTGAATGTTTAGTGCAGCTAACCTTCGTCTGTTGTTCTCAACCCAAACTATGGTGATTCCTCAACTAAAGGATAATTTACCTGGTCCTATGTCTTGCATGAGTATTCGTGAATACGCTCTGCAGAGGAGTCCGATACTAGGACGAAATGGTCATACAGTGCTCACATGTTTTCAATGTTGGTGTAGCTTATATCGACTTTTGAATTCAACTGTTAAAACATTTACGGGTATTTACGAATTCAGCTTCTCCTGTGGAAAGAGCTGTATTGAGCGCAAAACCAGACAGCTAAGCCAACCAGTTAGTGAATGCCTCCTTTATGATTAAGAAAGGGTATCGTCAAAACATATGCAGCTCCGCTCTACCACACTCGATCGATAGCGGTTACGTAGTGGATAGAAATAAGTTATTCTAAGTGATTTATCGTATTCCGACTAGTTTTTCTTATGGGATTCGATCTCGTCTCGTACATATAGCAGAAGCTGTAAGGATTCGAACTAACAATCCAAATCTTTGTATTCATAAGAAATTTGTAACACCTTTGCCTCTTCCTTGACCGAATTAACTGCAATAGGAAAAAATTTACTCCTTATTATTTTCTATTCTCTTATTCCATTTGTTTTTCATCAGTCACCGGTTTTTTTCATTTCTCAAGTATGCGCTTCATTGAACACTTCGTATTACATTATCTTAAAATTTTTATTAATGCTACTTCAGTGTCCAAATATTTCAAGTCACTGACCTATTTCCTATTATGAAATATTGATTCAAGCCCTTGTTAATCCTATTACAACTAGTACACCTGTCATATGTTTATGTGTTGATTGGTTTAATAATTTTGTATATACGTAGAATAATAACTGTATGTTAGAGTAAAGCCTGATGAGGATCCACTTCAAAACGGCATTATTCGTTTATCTATGTTGTTTTAATTCACAATATGGGAATTTTCAAAATTTGGGTTTTTAATTTGTTTACCTTTAATACATTAAATTATATTATCTGAGTCACACCATAAGATTTAAAGATCTTTGTTAGTACTTACAGGTGAAGAGTTGCAAAAACAACATGTGTCCAATGTTTCTTATTTCTTTTTTTATTTTCACCTGGTAACGTTAGTTATTTAGAAAAGTTGCTAAAAAATTTTCATGTATCTGTTTTTTTAAGCACTTGAAATTCGTGGTCGATCTGCTGCTGGTGTAGATGTTGAAGAAACAGAAAATCTATATTCACGTGTTCAATCTCAATTACGTACTAATAGACGTTCTAGTGTACCACCAAGAACTCCGCCACCTTCACAACCTCAACTACAGAATGTTCAACCAAATAATGTTCAGTATCAAAAACAAACAACAGCACCAAATACACAACAGTATCAGGCACAACACCAACAACAAAATTTCCAAGTAAATGGGTTTTTATTGATGATAATCTAACATTTTGAGGACATACGTGTTTTTGAGATATTACCACTATTGACTTACTAAGTTAGTCAATAGTTTATATTTAATAATAGTCTTTCAAAGAAAAATGGTAGTTAGTCCTTCAAATATCCCGTTCGCATGATTAGTTTCAACCTATAAGAGCTATCTGTACTTCTTTTCTTAACTTGGAGCGTGCAGAAGCGCAGTTACAGTAAAAAGATACACTTACCTTTCTCCTAGGACTGACTTCTAAAGTTTACATACTAGTTTTAAACGAACACATACTCGTGTCTTCTGACAAGTTTTTGTAAACTAATGTATTTTAGAATTCCACCCATGTAGGATTGCCAATTTATTAGGACGAACAGTGCGGAAGTATGATACGAAGGATTATTACTGATATTTTATTGTAATTATTGGATGCTTTTACTGTTGTGCTTTTATATTCTCCTATTAAAAGCTATTGTTTGACTCATATTTCACCGTCGTATATATCATCATTCCAGATTTATCACTATATATTTATTCTTTTATAACTATGGTTTTCATGGAAACCATGAACCGAACAATGTCAGACTACCATTGAAAACCTGGAAATACTGAACGGCCCATTCGTCCTAGGCAACGGAAGATGGTCGCGCGACATCGCACATTGGTTGAAGTCAAACATTAACGCCAATGGATTCTGGTTCAGTGATCTAGAGGTCAAGCATTCTCGCGTTAGGCCAAAGGCGCTAGGTTCAAATCCCCCATGCACAGCGTGGGTGTACACTGTTGGGTTCCACATGCAGTCCAAGGCTCCCAGGTTTCTACTGGTGGTCTAAAATTGATCGGTTCATGGATTCGATGCAGTTCAACAACCTCTACAACCCCGAACTAAAAACTATGGTTTTGTACCACATAACTAAGTTATACACACATCATATTTCCCTAAGTATGTTTCTATATGGTCTGATTATTGTAGTCATATTCCTGTATGACTTTTCGGTCCTGGTTAAATTAATTATAACAACGAATAGATCTGCTGTCCATCTTCGTCTTCTAATAAGCTATTGAGTTAAATGAAACTTGAGGAACGAAAATCTTTAAAGTCTTGCATACTGCTGATTGGTCGATGTGCCAACAGGTGGACAGGAGATTATTAGCCCTACTGGCAATATAGGTGAACTGATCGACAATTGGATCAGCGAGAGAGAGAGGTAGGTTATACGGTTTTTTCTTGTTGTTATAGCTTTTGAGTTGAAAAAATAACGATGTTCGTATACTGATAAAAACACTTCTCATGTACTTTAGCCACCAGCAATGCAAAAACCAACGCCTGGACCTCAATTTCAAGCTCCGATACCACCACCACCACAACAGCAGCAACAGCCGAATACAACAGTGATCAGGTTGAATGCAGCACCTGTAAGTGTTTATTTGGTATAACGCAACAACTGAATAAGTGTTAGGAATAAACTTTATTCAGTTGAGTTTGTAGGATTTTACAAAATTATGTTGTAAGCAATTAGAGAGCTTAAAAATTTCATTGTACTGTGGTCGTTTACTAGTTGAGTACTTCAATAAAAATTACATTATATTATATATTCATTTAGATTCTAGTTATCAGTTTTCCAAAAAGATGGACGACTGGTCTATTCACTGCAGTCTAATATTAAACTAACTGATGATGCACAACAAAAATATTCACTTTCTAAATGATACTTAGTAGATGATAATTTCAGTATAGCTTACTTAGAAGTGTAACTTCTCGCTCATAATCCTTGGTCTATAGAGAATAATGTACTTATTGATCACTCGACTAAACAGTTGACAAACCGTAGAAGATTAGTAAATGAAAACACCAAGAATAAGTAGATTTATTATAAGATAGTGTTTGGATGTAGTTAACAAAGAACTCTGCTTCGCCTAGGCTTTGCGCTTTTGAAACTAATCTTGACAGAAGTGATAGTTCCTGCAGTATATGATTTAGTGTCAACCAGCTTCACAGTCAAAGCAGCTTACGACTGAGCTAACCAAGCTGCTACCGATTTCCTGTAAGGTTGAGACTGTAAGAGTGCTTTCTTCCTTTATAGAATCAACGTCCGGACCAGCCTTCACCGCCTATACAAATGTTACAGCCATTAACAATTAGTCCACCTGGACAAACACAAACACCAGTTGAATCACCACGGAATGTTCCATCTCCTGCTAAGCCGACACCACCGCCACCGCCACCACCACCACCATCTATGGCGCCTGTTGCTCAAAATGTGACATTGCCCCCACCGCCGTCATCGCCCATAATGTCACCACCGATTGTGAATTCTGTAAGTTATTCTATTATTGGTGTTTACTAACTTTCTCTTGCTTATGAATGTTGTCTGTTTGGTAACTATAAATACAGATGTCGGTGCATTAGAGTTTGAGATGGTAGAATGTGCATAATTTAGATCATAAGATGAAAGTCTTTAGTTTGGTGCCCTGTAATGTGTTGTTGCTAGTATGTACTTCTGGGGAGCCCCAATACTGAGGCGAAACAGTTTTCCAGTACTCCCTGGTTTTCAGTCTTGGTTTAATCAAGACCAGTTCGTTGTTGATAGTGTAACGGTTGCCAAAAATGTTTTGAGTTAATATTATTCAGTCACATCTGGATACTAAAAATGAATAAATAAAACTACATCCATAAAAAGATTGTTATTAGGCTTTCAGAATAAATATCCGCTGCCATCTACAATTATGTTTCCTATTTATTTACATAAATTGGCAAAATGAAAACTATGACACTGAGAGAGCTATTTTTGGGTGGAATAACTTTGCATACTTCCTATGTGTTGATTAAACAGTTGGGTCATTGCTTTTCGTGTCACATTGATAGTGAGCTTTCATTCTACTTAATAACTGTATATCGATTGAAATTTATTGGTCATAATGCCTTATAATTAAGCGAGTATTTCAGATCTGAGTAATCTAAAGAACACAAGATGTTCAACCTGATCTTTCTGTTATTCTAACTGATGTTTTATCCAACACTATTGAATTTTGATTTGCCATCCCATCATTGACAAACACTAAGCTACTAATGCGGAAGGAATACACAACAGTACTGTGTCTAGACCAAGATCCGTTTTGCTGTTGTACAGACAGCAATGGGAAATAATAGTTGGTTTAAGTTATTGTGGATATAACAATAATAAAATATACAGATGTGTATAACTTCACGACAGTCTGTATGGATGCTCAACGATGAACACAGAACGTAAGTTTAAGCATTTCTTCGGTAGGCCTTATGATTAATTCCTCAATGTCCAAACAAAAGTAAACTTCAGCTACTCTTAACGGCCAAATCTTGTTTATTGTTGTAGGCTTTATCCTTCATTTGGTCAAACTAAAAATATTTATATTAAACATGTTGTGCAATATATTGATGAAATAAATTTTTTTAATACTTCATGTCCAAGTGCTTAGTTTTTCATTCTGTTTTATATGAACCGCGACAATAGGAAACAGCGATTTGATTTCGACTGAATTCTAATTAAAAAATAATGTTGAAGTGTTGAACACTTTCAGAAATCAAGCTCGTCGTTATACCTAGAAAGCTCTATTACCTAGAAAAAAGTGAAAATGTTAAAAAATTTTATTATTAGACCAAAATACGGTTATCAAGGGTTAGCTACAATTGACATACATTTGCCTCATTGTCAGCATTACATATTATGCTATTACGTATCCTGATTAACATTTTATACGTAGTTCGGCTAGTATGCTTCTGTAAGGATGTCGATTCTATCATTGGAATAAAATAGTGATTTATTTATTAATGTGACTTAGCTGTTTGCTATTACTTGGAGTACTTACATCAGATATAAAATGAGCTTATCGGACTGATGACGACACAGTGTAAACTGAATGAATACCTATAAGAAATCTCTTCATGAAATTAATAATTATCTCATAACAATAAAGGTATCATTATGTCGTATTCAACTTGAACAGTTTAAGAATTTTGACGGATTCTTGTTGAAAATTCAAGGAATAGTTCCTTTTCAAACGTGAATATGGAAAATTCATACAAAATTTATCGATCATAGTATTTTCAGCAAGATATACACGAAAACTACTCAAGATCTACGTTTTTATTATTTTGGAATGTCAAATTTATATTTTAAAAAATATCTTTTATCAAAATAAGATAAGAACCACTACCGTGATGTTTGCTACTGATGAGGACAGATCTACGTATTATGTGTTACCAATCGAGAGTGGAATGCTTGACATCAGAAGGTTGAGAAAATTGAAGAGAAGAGAACGAGAACAGAGAAATATCGATATTGCAACGAGGGAACAACAAAGTCTGAGACAGTTGAGGGATATTTTGCAAATGAAGTATTTACTGTTTAGTTCTCAGATTTTACCAAGATATTCTGTAATGTTGTATCAGAATATATTTGGTTGTCCTCACTTATATTCCCGTTCACTACACTACTACTGCTAAAAAACTGGATTAGTAGCTTCATCACCAAAAAACATTCGACTTTCGATCATTTTATTCTAGCTTCCAATACTGTTTTACTTAACTTGGTTTAGACAGAATTTTAGTATCACTACCGGTTATATAAACAGTCTGACTTGATAATGAGTACGTAAATCCTGTGATCTGTAAATGATATACATTAATTTACAATGAACTTTGATGATCAACTTACACACAATTTTCTTGTATCAATCAAGTCAGACTAATTCATAGGTTTTGTTAACACAGTAAGTTACTTAAAATAGATGCACTTTATCTATAATAGTAGATTTTCTAAATTTATTTCTAGTTAGTTTCACTGATTGATATTATCATTTAGTAAAGTCATTTTAGGTAGTTTGTAAACTAACGTAATGTATTACCTTATTATTCTTGCTTGTGTGCATCCTTGACCTTTATATATTTCTCCATGAGTTTTACACTAATCATCTGTACATGTATACTTTATTAGTTTTCATTGCATGTGTATGATGAACAGTATGAAGTGATTACTTTCATATTGCACTCTTCCAACATAATTATTATTATCATAATGATCATGATCATTATCATTGTCATTATTATCATCCTCAACAATCGACTCCATCAAATCACATGAATTCATATTTTCCTATAGAATAATTCGACTTTTCTTTATACGTGTACATTCATACGTCCATTTTCATCTTTCATACGTGTAGATCCTTCTATGCGTGTGTATGTCTGTGTGCATGTTTATGCTTGGTCATTTGAATGTTGTAGACTTAGACATTTTCATCGTAGTTATTTGTCATTATTTCTAATTATTCTTATTGTTTAGTAGTGGTTATAACTACTTTTAAGTAATATGAATCGAGATAATTTCAAATAGATGAATTTTACGATTGTTGTTGCGATAACATATCTATCCATGCAAATGATTCAATCTAAAGGTAATTTTTTATCATGGATCAGTATAAACTGAAGAGTCTTTGTTACAAAATTAGAATTCTAGTAAAGTCTAATCATTTGTTGACTAAATGTATACTGATGTGAGATCTGAGACAAAGATGAAACAACTCTCCATTATCCTTTATTCTTCAATAGTTTCAAAGATGATGTCAGTCTGTGGAAATACAATATTCTTCTCCTTATTTATACAAGAAAAATAATCGAAAGTTTATTGACTGACAAAAAGGTAGCTACTTTTTTTAACAGAAGAGCCGATTAACCACTTTTTTTTACGGAGTTCAACTCATTCACGACACAAACAATAACTCGTTATGTGGTGTATCCTACTTAAGCTGGCATATATGAGTAGTATGTAGCAGCAATCAGATGTGGAATGTCTGTCAGCAGGAGATTAAGAAGATCGAATTGATGAGAACAAAAAAGTAAGCAGAGATCAATTGTAATAACGACTGAATTGAAAGAATCACGAAACATGTTTAAGATAACTGGAAGATGTGCAAACAATGTATTTAACGTATGGTTTTCATATTTCACGAAGACAATCTGTAATTTTGCATTAAATAAAAAAAATGGTTTTCTTCACCTGAATTCTCGTCCACTACAATTACAGTGAACAGTGGAGCGAACCAAAAAAAAAAGGAAGTAACCGTTTATCTCACATAATCAGTTACCTTACTTGAAATGATTGAGAAATAACACTTGGTCAAGTATTGTTTCACTCTATCAAAAAACGACCTTTATTTAAAAAAAACTGAATGAATATTAGTAGTCATTCTATCTTTAGTTCAAACTGAAATTCGAACGTCTTTACAGCCAGCGATAATCTTTTTTTTTCAGAATGCTATCTCTTTATATAATTGAGCAACAATGTGTACATCTAAATAGATTGAGCGCATGTTTTATCGGTACTTAAACTAACTACTTTATTTTTGTTTTTAATTTTTATGATCATTTCCTCAAAATGTGTCTTTAGTAGTAAAGGGGAAAGCCACAGTCGTTTTAATAAAATAAAGTTATCATTAACAACTTTACATGATTGACTTCTAATTAGACATTAGATGAGTAAATGTTGAAAGTTAGCATACTTTAATCGTGATAAATCATTTATGTAATTACTATAGTTTGAGTTTTATTTCTAAAGGTTTGGACTAGTAACCCGTTGTTGATAATTTAACTGAATTTTGATTATTTATAGCAGGAATATGTACATCCTGTTTGAATTGTCTTGATGTACACAATACTTTATAGGTTTTTATGGAATAAATGGAATATGGCTAGAAATGGGGTCCCTGACGAAAGTTTTATTCTATTTTAACACACATCAAACAGTCACATTTTATTTATTCTATATAAACATGTAATATTATGGCTTTATCAAGACGATTTACATAGGATGCACATATAGCAACTAAGAATAATCAAAATTTAGTCAAAATACCAACAAAGAGATACTTAAACCAGTATAAACTGAATTACAATTCATACCCATTGAAAAAGTCGTTTACCCTGAATCAGTAACCTAGCAGATAATGCGTTGAACGTTTAAACTGAAGAGTACTGATTTTGAATCCTGGGTTAAACATTAACTGTAGGATACAGATCAATCCAAATGAAAAGTATTAGACATAAAGAACTACGTATCTTGGATTCTACTCTATCTAAATTACTATAGTTATCCCTTAAAGTGATGTTTATTTTTTTTCTTCAGATGATGCAATTCTCTGATCCTTCACCTACTGAAATGGCTTATTCTGATGCTGTCAGCGCAGACTTCACTATTCAACTTTAATATATTTTGTGACAAATACAAAATAATAAAATAAAACAGAACAAAACAAAATATATTAGTGAATTATCAATGTTTATCAATAATCAATTAAATATTTATATTGATTTTGAAAGAATTCTAACATTGTAATCTCAGATTACACTGATCTTCAGTTTCATTTTACTCTAATCAACCAATAAGCTTTTACAAACAGACAAAATTAAATATATTCTCAGCAATTGCATTTGGCTTCATGTATGTCTTACCCTTTCACAACTATCGCTATTATTATTACTATTATTATCATTATTATTATTATTATTATAACCGGGTGAATTCGCTTAAAGCACACAACCTGACATGACTCCACCAAAAAAATACAAAAATGCAAAATCCATTACAAACCAAGATAGTTTACATTCAATTACACTTGCTGAATAACAACTAGACAATATATTGCATGCATATTCACTTAATTTATCGTTAACGGTTCTTTTTCTTTCTTTCCATCCGTCAATATAACAAAACGAAGCGTTACATTGTTTATTGATGACATTTAATGAATTCTAACTTTATATTTATCTATATCTTAGAGATGAAAACATTCAAATAACCAACCAATCAACCATTCATTTAGTATAGTTCACAATGATTTATGCCCTAATCAATGTCTATTCGATTCTGTTATGTTTATGTACGTGCATACATTCTTCTTATCACATTAAAAGAAATGAAGAGTAATATTGTTTTCTCTTTTAATGGTTAAATGAAAGTAGATCTAAACATTAACAGCTTATTTTTTATTTCTATACTAAACTAGACTTTAGATTCACATTTTGTCTAGAAAAAAAAAAGAGAAAAGAAATGATCAAATGAAAATCTTTATTCGTTAAACTGTCTGTCTTTTTTTGTAAACTTCGTCTTAGTTACTGTAGAAAACATTCATACGTACTTACATACATACAGAAAGTAAGAATCAGATACATGGAAGACCTTGAATATAACCTTGACATTAGTTGGTATTAGTTTCTAGTTATTTAAATTTTCACTGTTACCTACCTACATTTCCCGTTCCTTCAGCTATTCTGATAAATTAATTTAGACAAACATTTTGTTTTCTTTAAAGCAAAATATAATATAATCCTACAATATGTTTATATTTACCTTTTAAATTATTACGGACGGAAATAATGAGATGTGCATGTACGTAAGCAAGAAAACGGCAATACATTTTACACAGTATTCGATTATTGCTTTCAATTTACAAATCTTTGTATGGTTTATTACAATGCTTTTTACCCTTAACCCTTATCCAATTAAAAATCAACAGTTTAGTTTTTAAAAAAAAGTTGATATTTCTTTTGAATGGATTCTTTGTTGTTTTAATATTTGAATATAAAGTTGTACGGTAAATAGGAAAGAAAAATGCTTTGAAGGTTGTTTCATAAAATTTCTTTAAGGTGGTTTAACAGTGTTTATTCAATGAACAAGTTATTTTTCATCGTGGACTGAAATGAGTTTATAAATCACTAAACACTAGGATGTAAATAGTAGTTGTTTTGTTAGAGATTATGTTTGAGAGCAGGAATCGACCAATGTTAGACCACCATTGAAAACTTGGAAGCACTGGACGGCCATTTCGTTCTAGTATGGGAATCCCCATCAGAGCGCATCTACGGTCTCGCATGCGGGACTCGGACTCACGATGATTTAGCTGTACTCATACATCTGATTTTTTCCTGATTGGAACCAAAAGAAAAATGAATGATTGGAGCTAACATTTAATGAACGGTTATTATGATTCCTAAAATTTAGTGATGAGAATTTTGAATGTGATTGAAAAAAACTTAAAAGTAATTGATTGGCTAACTTGTTTTTAAAAATGTGTGCTTGCGTGTTTATTAACAAACCACATCGGATATAATGTAATTAAGAACACTTTCGGTGTCCATGACAACGTTCGAAATAATACAGGTAGAACTTTGTAAAGTTATCTACGTTCATAGTTTGGAGAAATGGTGATCAGTCAAGGAATATTCATGTTTTACATCTCTTTTTCAAGAACCAGTAACCACTAATTAACATTTTGAAACTAATTATTTTCATTGGACTAAACGAGATGAAAAGAATTTTATTAAGAATAATGTAGAAACAATCATGCAATAAACGGTATTCAATGATCGGTTCACGACGTCAATAAAATGAATCAACACCATTGGATGCCTGCTCAGTGGTCTGATGGTTAAGTGCTCGCGCGCGAAGCCAGTAGGTCCTGGGTTCGAATCCCGCGGGGGTGGGTTCGTGGATGTGCACTGCTGAGGAGTCCCGTACTAGGATGAAACGGCCGTCCAGTGCTTCCAGGTTTTCCATGGTGGTCTAGCTTCAACTGACTCATGATTTCAACTTGTGAAATATTTCACTTGTCAATCACGACTACAACGCATAAGGAATAAAAAATATGGTTGTATCCAAGCTAAGATATTAGAGTAGGAAAAAGAAATACAAGGTTCACGTTCAAATTACAATACTTTTGACATATCCAAGGGAATACATCATCTCTGTTATTCCTTGTTCACATTTCTTCATAGAACTAGTACTTTACCAAAATGCCTCATATGTATACGATTGTACAGCTTGATAATAAATTCATTGAAATAAGATCCCTTCGCTGAATTTCGTGTTTTCAGTTCAGTTTCAGTTTGGGAAGGACAGGAGGCTTGATGGCCTGTGTTAGTCCTGGCAATGATGGTCTCTCAGTTGATCCAACTTTCTTTGAAAGAGTCGACGGATGGAGCCTCAACCACGTGCTGAGGTAAAGAATTCCACTCGTTGATGATTCGATGAGAAAGTCGATAGTCAGCTGACAAGTAATTTGTTCTGGGCTTGTGAACTTTTTCAGAGTGTCCTCGTAAATTCTGTTTTGGGAGACAAGAAAAATGAGGGCATATCAGGTGCAAATTCGGCACTAAGCAATTTGAAAACTGTAATCAAGTCGCCTCTAGTTCTGCGATATGACAACGGGTAAAGGTTCAGCTTGACCAATCGAGCTTCATACGGAAGCTTCGCTAATCCTGGGAATCAGCTTAGTTGCCTTTCTCTGAACCTTTTCCAGAAGCTCACTGTCTTTTTTAAGCAGAGGCTAGCCGCTTGTATGCAGTACTCAAGTTTAGGACGTACGAACACTGTATACATGACCAAAAGCCTTACGTATTGACCATAAGGTTCTAAAATCTTTGGCGGCTATTGCACGGCAGTGTGCAGTAGTCTTTAGGTCTTGGCTAACGATGATTCCTAAGTCATCGTATGTCTGGACGACAGGTAGCTCAGTGTTATTCATCGTGTATGTATCTGTACCTTGGTGACCGATATGCATCACGACACATTTGGAAGTATTTATCAGCAACTGCCAGGTTTGAGACCATTCAGATAACTTCTTCGGGTCATTTTGGAGTTCTAAGCTATCACCCTCACATCGTATCGTTCTCCATATCTTGACATCGTCAGCATATAGCAAGACTGATGATGATAGGAGACGAGGAAGGTCATTTATATACAAGAGGAATAGCACTGGCCCCAAAACTTTACCCTGGGGCACTCCACTAAGCACAGTTCCCCAGCTAGATAACTTTGAGTTCACCCGTACTCTTTGTTGACGCCCGACTAAGAAGTCTTTTATTCACATCAATAGATTGCCTCCAATGCCGACATTTCTTAACTTAAATAAGAGAATATGACAATAATTCGTGCATTAAATTGAGCTTATGATTCATGCAATAAAATAGGCATAAAACTAAATTTTTATTGAAGTCATGAACTGGTTACCATTGAAAAGCTGGATTTTCAATGATAGTTTAATATTGATCGGTTCATGATCTCAAAAGACTCAACAATCTTCACAACGCTATACTGATAAAGCAAAATGCTAGTTTCATAGAATCTTTCTGATCAGTACTCAGTTTATCAATTTATCTTAAGGATTACGTAATCACAATATTAGTATATCATTTCTAAATAGTTCTGATTTCATCCTCTTAGTTTTTATTCTGGAATATTCTTATTTACCACTTAAATTACCTCTTATAGTCCTTTCACATTTGTTGATTCGCTTTCATTAATATTTACTAACGAGAACTTTCACCAATATTATGAATTAACTGTGTAAGCTGGTTTATAATGAATAATACTATAATGTCTAATTTTAATAGTTGAATTCATGAGTCAATAGAAACTGGACCACTATGGAAAATCTGTAAACACTAGACGGCCATTTCGTGCCACTGTGGGACTCCTCAGCAGCGCGCATCTACGATCTCGCCTCGCGAGATTCGAACGCAAGACCTATCGATCTCGTGCGCGAACGCACCACCTCTAAACCTCTGAACCAGCATCCAATGGTGTTAATGTCTATCTTTAACCAACCCACGAAGTCGCGCCACCATCCACCATTGTCATCAGTGAGTTGCAATCTCTCAACATACCTGGTTGAACTCCTCTAATAAAATTACTATAATACCCACAAACCCCTCTCTGATTATAATCATCATATGCTCACTAGTGACGGTCTCTAAGAGGCATTTTCTAGAGTTCTATTGAGAAGCCGTAACCAGTGGAGTTCAACCGGGTCTGTTGTGAAATAGTAACTCACTGATGACAATGGTGGATAATATCCACATAACCCCTTTCTCGTTATAATGTTTAAGTTTTAAGAAACTGATAAGAAACGGTGAATTAATTTTATACTGCTAGTTTAATTGTTCTTACTTTACTCAAACTAAATGTTAATATTTGATGAATTTTGCAATAAGTAAGAAAATATATTAAAAGATAACTTTCGTTGTTTGGCATTGTTTCGTTATTTTTCACTTCACATCACTACTGAATGATAGTACAAGCTGGAAAAACTACAGATTATTAGAATATAAATTCTTATCTTTTGTTTATGTGTTGTTAAACATGAAAGTGTA